TTAAATGTCATTTGATAAAACTTTATTTACATAAAATTTGAAAGACTATTAGTATAATTGTTGTAAATATTTTTTGACTCAACCATTAGAAAAATGATACATAGGATTTTATCCTATGTAACACCTTTAGAATTCTTTTTTATTTTCTCTCTCTGGTTTCTCTCTTAGTATAATATACTATAGATATGGTCTGTGAAAGATAAGAATGGCTTTATCATGCTAATGGTTTTTATGATGCTCAAGTTCATGTTGGTAATTAAAAGGTATCCCATCCATCAATATCATCGAACCAAGTAAGAAATGCCCATAAAAATGAGCCTTTATTCCTGTGGTCCTGGATGAATTTAAATCGAGGTTATTGAGATTTTTACTGGAAAGCGGTATAAAAATGCCATGCTCCACAATACCAAAGTCTTGCTTCAGAGAGAGGAGTAGAGGTGGACAGGGCAAAGACAAAGGCAAACGGATAATCTAGTGAGAAGCATCCTTTTTTCAAAAGGTAGGTTTAAATAACTTAGAAATTTGGCAAGGTATAAAAGGAGGTTTTCTCTGGTAAATTTTTGGATATCACCGGGATTTCTGAAAAATGGAGCTTCTGGTAGGTAAGAATAGACAGAAAAATGACAAATTTGACAAATCTATACTAATGTAGCCAGCGGTTTTTGAGATTTGTACTAAAATAATAATATTGACTTTTTTTTGATATGAAAAAAATAAAAATTGGTTTTAAAAAAAGAATTATTGTATACGAAAGCCGATAGAAATGGTAAAAATTTAGCAAATACCCTGTTTATTTTCTCCGGTATCTCGTCAATGTCAACGGAAGAACACAATCACTGATTTATAGTTTTCTACCCCTTAAAATATTGGCGAACGCACAGACATTGCCCTTTTAGACCGGATAGAGCTACAATGCTTGTCCTTTTCTTCATCTTTTCCCCTCTTTTCGTCTCTGTGTTTTTTTTTTGTTTTTTGAAGAAATGTGTTTTTGAGAACACAAAAGAGGTCTTTCTATTTATTTTGTAGGAACAAAGGAAGCTGCAGCCAAGTCATCTTTTCCTTTGTCCTAAGTAAGCTGTGAAAGGTTCTTGTTTCCTCGTACAAAAACCGTCCTAAAAATAACCAATAAAATGTTAGCACCTCACGTGGATCACCACCGCCCTTTACTAGTTTAGCCCTCTTTTCTTTTCCTATTTCTTTTTTTGCGGGGGTGTTTTTTCCCCTTAAATCGTTATTAAATCTATAAATAAGGGATCGGAGACCAAAGCCGATAGGGTTTTTTTTTTTTTTTTTTGAAAAAGACCAATAGGGTTGATTGCATGGGAGGAAGCTGGTTCAGAGGGGCGACATTCTCCAAGCCATAAAACATTCTGTAAGTTCTCTTCGCTTTCATCTACAAACTCTGCTGCCAATGTGTATTTTCTTTTCTTCTTTGGTCCGCTTACCCGTTTCATCTTGCAAAACTTGGATCTATTATTCTTGGTTTTCACTTCATTCAGTCAAAGACTAATGTTTGAATTTTACATGTATTCTTGATCCATCTCGTCTTTTTGGTTAATTAGATCTTTGCAAATGCACATATGGCAATTCAAGAATCTCTATAAACTTGAGTATAGGTCTTTACTGTATCCATTGTTCACATATTCATTATTACAGAAGGGACTCATATCAATTTGAGTCGAAATAGTTTACTTTGGGGTATCTGGATGGTTCCTGTTCATGTATGATGAGATCTGCCAGTTGGGCAGGAGAAACTTTGCTGGAACTTGGATGCTATATAAGGTGTGTAATTCCGTTCGCTCTTAACTTGAAACTCAATGCATCCCATCGTTGATGTACTCCTATCCCGAAATTATTTTACAGTTTAGATTATCACTTTTAATTTAATTTATACTAAAATTAAAAATCTAAACTGGAAAACAATTTTGACACAGAGAGAGCACTAAAAGACATAAAAAAATATATATACAATCTGAAAATGTATTGAAATTTGCTATATGTATCAAAACGGAACTGTTTTGTTCCAGTATAATTTAATACAAACAAGTATTAAATATAAATACAATAGTTTTAATACAAACAAACGAAGACACGGAGGGATTACTTTGTTCAAAACTGCAACAAACGATTGATATGTTGAAAATGTGACTAAATCACTTATTATGTAGATGACAATGCGCGAACTTTTGGAAAAATATATGTAAGATTTTTTGACAAATACATGAGCCATCTTCATTCTGGATGAACCATCTTTGTACTTTCACTCCTCTGTCCTTTTTGTGTCTCTTTTTGCGGCCCACGTATCTGGGATGTGAAATTTTTTTCCTTGTTTTCTGATAATGGGGGCTGTGAACCTAGCTTTGGGTGATTTTGGAATTCCATTAAACCCCCAGCATACACGTTTTACTGTTGCTGCTAAAATCTCTTTTTCTTGGTCAGCTGCGAGTGAATCTCCATAAAGATATTCCATATTTCGTGACCTTGTTAGGCATGAACGACAAAGTCTATAGAAGAGATTACAGTATACATGATGCTTACTTTCTGGTGGGTCAAATTCCATCTTGGACAAGATGAATACTTAAAATCTAGGGATAACTGGCCTATCTTACTGTTGCCAACTTGATATCCTTATTTCTGCGAAATACCCTTTTTTTTTCTTTTTTTTCTTTTTTTCTGACGTTGCAAGTTGACATCGTGAAAATATCCAAAAAGAAGAAAAGTATGGCACAAAGCTCTACCTTTTTCTCACTTAAGATGCACTCTTTCAAGTCCTAATCATAAGGAACAAATTAACGTTAAAATTAATTTATATTTGTGTCCTACAGGTAGAATTAGAGGCAGCAATTAAATCGCATCATGCTACCTGTACTGTTATGAATGAAAAACATGGTTACCTTCAAACTTGAAACATGGTTACCTCTACTCTGCTGTTCTTCTTTTTCCAGGCCTCTCCTTCACCCAAGGATCCTTGGGGTTATTACCATGCTTGAGACGATCATGTATTCAGCCTGCTCTAAAAAATCAGCCAGATAACACATATATGGTCATTGACAATGGAGAAAAGCAATGAATAGGGTTAGCCAGTCTCATTTCCTCTGGCATTTGTACATAGTCCACAACAACAAAGAGAAGCAAAGAACTTGATCTGCAGGACAGGATGGACAAATAGTTGTATTGAGACACAATTAAACCGAGCCTTGGGGCTCATCCAGAATCAATCACTTCATCTTGGCATCGTGTTGCAAATTTTTCCATTTAACCAATCATTCTTTTTATATCTTTTTTTGCCCAAAATGGTAAGAAAGGGTCCAATTGGCTTATACAATGGCTTTCTACTCTTCAAAGTAGTTTAAGAGCCTCCTGCTGCCGTCCCCGCCTTGTAATCATCTCACCATCTGCAAGCTCCCTGAATTCCAGTGTTACACCATTATTCTTCTGGTTTGGTGTATTTTTGGCTTCATGTAGCTGCAGTTTTATTCGTATATGTGGTTATTTCAGTTGGGTAATATGCTCATTTTTACAACTTAAATAGAGTAGAAATTTCACCTGGTCCTGCAGATGTTTGTTTTGTTCCCTTAGCGTCCTTTCCTGAGGGATAAGCAAATGGAGGTAAGCAAAAGGTACCAGTTTCCAACATGTTTTCAGTTTCAGCTATTTGCATCTGCCGTAGTCAGTAAATGAGGGTACTCACCAGAAGCAATGCAACAACATCCCATGGGGTCCAAAAATCAAGGTATGAGGCTGTGCGGTTATTGTTACTTTTATTTTGCTTTAAAAGGAAGATAACCATACAAGAATGGACATGGCAATATTTAGTAATCAGATGATGCTTCTGTAGCCCTGAAAGTATCACAAACTTAACACCCCATTCATACAGCCTGTTCTAAGTCAACCATATGTCACTCCCAGAGTCATAAATGATGTGAACCTAGGTAAAAAGGTAAACCAGGCATAGATGTGAATCAGCCATGTATGATTTATTAAACTCATAGTTATCTTAGACCAATTTTCTTGCTACGAGGAGATTTACTCAGCAGATGCTCCATTTCAAGGAGCAGGCGATTACTACTGGTAGAACAATTCTAAATACAATAACAAAGTCCTCATCCAGACTATCCTTTTTCCTGCTGATCATTTTCACTTGCATGGAGATTATTAAGAATCTGCAGGTCAGAAGTAGTTCACAGGGGAAACCTGAGAAGTCCTTAGTATGACTGACTACATACTCTGGTAGCAATTAGGTGTAATTCTGTTATGTGCATTAGCCAATGGCTTTTAGGGAGTTAAAGAATCTGTTAAAGTGGGCAGGGTACTTGAGCATTATCGATCTATAGATCTAGAATTTTAAGCTCGAACCTTCTTATAGGCTCAGATAATGCTAAGGCTGAGAATGCATGGGTAGCAACTTTCTACAGCACACATAACACAGAAACCATTAAAAACCTCCAAGAAGTTTCCAAAATGAATGTAAGAGACAGCCTCACCCAATATAGAGAATTAACGTACCATTTCACCGAGATCTGCTATGAATTGCATGGACATCTGAGTCTGTGCAGAAGAAAAATCCAACTTATTTTCAGGATGATGCGAAAAAATGAAAGCTGAAGAAAAAATCCACTAGGACTCACACTTCATGCATGGAGAAATTTGTAAAAGATTAAATATGCTTGAACAAGCTACAGTAAACTTAAACAAAGCCTCTCTCTCCAGAAGCTCATAAAAAAAATTATCCACCCGTAACATGAGGGTGAGTAGCTACTTCTGAATGGTCAGCAATAGAGAATGGTAAAAGAACCTACAAGTATACATATAATTGCTAAATGCTTTTAATAGGTTGCATGCAAGAAGAGAATTTACCATTTGAAACAGATAGCAAAAGTCATGATTATGCAATGAAGTTCCCTAACAGGATACTAAAATGTTGGACCATACAACCAGCATCCAGCCTTAATTTTTTCTAATTTGTTTTTTAAATCTGATCTACCGAGAATGTCAATAACCTTTTTAGATCTTGTTTGAGAAAGGGCATCCTCAAGTTGTTCTTCCAACTGCACCAGGTCATTCAGGTTTAGTTGATCAACATCTGGTTCCTCAAGAACCCTGCGGAAAACCAAAAACATTAGAAGTTACACAGGTTTAAGATGTCAGGGATATTCCATTCTTGCCTTTCAACATTTTCCAGGAGCTTTCTGATTGTCAAGGGACCTTCCCCTCCGGAATCCCATTTTTGCTGTTGAAAATAAAACTAAATTATCCATTAAGCTAAATAAATTCAAACATGTAGAGACATCCAGGCAGCATATATCTCCAAGCTAATAGAAGAGTAGGTGTTTTGACCAAGCAAGAACTTACATGGACAATGACAATTAATATGCAATGGCCTAAGCCCTTTTTACGTGCCACAAATTAGGGGTTGATATTCACAGTTTTCATAACCAGTTGAGTGGCTTTAGATCCAGAATTATGGGAGGAGCAATAGAACACTTTTTTTGAATAGCTACAGAGCATTAATTGTAAGAGAGACCAAAAAATTCCAACTCGCTCATAGTTTTACTTCAATGTGGAAAAGGATAATTTACTTAAAACATATTCATGGAGGCATCAATGTCCTTAGTTAAATGCTATACTAACCTCGGAACATGCTCCACCACACTCCTCTCCTTCCACTTGCATGTAGCTGTGATATCGATCAACAATTCTATTGAAACTGAAAGGAAAAAGAAAAAAATGTAGGGGCAGTGATTCAATTTACCTATAAGATCAAAGTGTATTTCAGGAAATAAAACAAGTAGCCGACAGCTGATCTGGGCTTTCAGTATTGCTGGAGCATAAAGGGGAAAAAAATTAAGGGAAAAATGTAATAAATTTTAAAAATAACATTAATTTTCCCCTTGAATAATAGTTTTGAACAGGCATTCGCAAGGACTTAGTTAGGATGATTTGCCTTCCATTGCGTGCTGCGGGCTATCGACATGGACTCTTTTTTAATGTTAGATATGACACATGTTGATATGACACATGTTGATATGCGTTGATTTGCCCAAATCCTCTCTTATATGAACCAAAAGTCTCACTTTCGCTAAATTTGCCGAGTCCAACCCGGGATTCCACATCCGCGCAAAGTCCATGCAATATAGGTTATTGCAGTCGGCGTGGGATTCCCGCAGCCAAGGAAAATTTAATAAAGATATCGAGATTTAATCCCAACATTTGAGATATATTATATGGAAAATATAGATCGTGCTCTATGAGGCGGGTGTCAAAATTTCAGTATATTAATAAATAAATTCTTTAAGGTAATTTTGTGCCCATTTAATGTTCCCCTTAAATCAGTGCAACTATCACTAGCCAATTCTTTCAGTTGTGAAGGGCTTTGCGTGGCATAAAAATTTCTTAATGCCTTTCAAGCGTTTGTTAACAAGCCCAAGAGAAAGTCGTTTTGTAACTAATAGCTACACTTGAGATGGCTACACTTGTCAAAGAAGTAATAAATTAGGGTAGATATAGATATGTTCTAGGCACGAATAACGATTGTGACATTAATCAACATCAGCATACTTAGTATATTCCCAATCAAGCTAGGTTCTGGGGGGTCAGATGTATACTAACTTACTTTTGTAATTATAGAAAGAGGTAGTTTCCATAGCGATCCAAGATACATCGCGTCGTTTGAAGTATTGATTTTCGGCTACTTCACTAATAGAAGAAGCACTAGAATTTAATAAAGCCGTATTGATGTAGTTCATTAATCATTATTAGTACAAAATTAAAAGAATTTATTTCAAAAATAAAAAATAAAAAAATCCACACAACTTAATAGAAAATTATGTTTGTTTGATGTAACATACTCCCTCCATTTTAGAGTATAAATTTTGTAGTGAATTAGGGCAGTTAGAGATATGTTTTAGGCACAAATAACGATTGTCACAATTTGGTGAACTAATTTAAAAAGGGGCATAGTTTTATGATTGACAACTCATTCCTTGTAAGTTTTCCTTGTAAATTTTTCCTGTATGTATCATTACTCTTTTTCTTTAGGATAATTATTCTTACAAAGAAAAAATGACAAGGAAAAATAACAAGGAATTAATCATAACCATTCATTTTTAACACTTTCCATTTGGGGTTTAAGTATTTAAAGTTGGGGCATAGTTTAGATGATTGACAACTCATTCCTTGTAAGTTTTTCTTGTAAATTTTCCTGTATGTATCATTACTCTTTTCTTTAAACTAACATAACCCACTCCCTTTCAAATATGAAGATCATTTTAGGTGGGGGAATGTTTCACAATATAGATCGTTTCAAAATTTTTATGCAAATTAGTTGCTAACTTTCCAACTTTATCGTCAATAAATGATATTTGTTTCTTTTCATTAGTTTCATTTATGATTACAGTACTTTTAATGAGGGGTATAGATGATATTTGACAAGAAAATCAATCTTCTCTTTGAGAACAATTATACATTTTGTTTCTATTAACACAACATCCCATTTGGCCATTTTTCTTTGCTCTTCCATATCTCCGTGCCACTAAAGTTGTCCACATAGCAAATTTTAAACTGTACTGATATTAAAATAGTTTACGATGTACAATGTTGAGTACTACAATTTATAATTTACAATGTGGACCATTTTTCTGAGATGAAAGGAGCGATAATTTTTCTTTTCTAATTTCAATTCTACATGAAAAAAATTAAGTATCTTATACATTTTTCTAACATTTTCACCTTTAACTGTGTCCATTGTCCTTTGCTTGTATTAGGCATTGGTTCTGGAACTCTCAGAATGTCTCATGATGGGTAGTATGAAAGAATTTCAGCGGCACAAGAGGCTATCAAAAGAATGGAGGGAGCTTTATACGAGAGATGGGATCTCTTGACTAAGGACTAAATCAAGATCCGGCAACATGTTGCTTCTTTTGATTTTATTTTTGCATTTGAATTGGACCTTGTCATCGTTGATCAGTTTTAGCTTAAGATGTAACAGCTGCATCAAGGAACATTATTGTTAAGGTGTTAAGAGTTTTCACGTCGCCCGCATGAAAAAGCATTGATGTGTATATAACCAAAAGGTACTTAATTCATTGTCAATTGGTTTGAAATGAGAGTCGAAAGTATTGATATAGTTTGACATGATATCAGAGCGTTATGCGTCTGTGACGGTGTTCTAGGGTGGTGGTGATTTTATACTATTGCTTGTGGCCTTGTTGTGAAAGGATCTATCAGTATAACTGAAGTATTGATAAATTGTGCTCTTGTTGTGATACAAATTTATTGAACAAAAAGTTCAAAGACCTATTGGACTTGAGAAAGGTGATAAGATGTTAAGAATTGTCCCACGTTATCTACGTAAGGAAATATTAATCTGTATATAAGTTGCAAAAGATACCCCACTCATTGTCCCTTAGTACGAGATGAGAACCCGAAATACTTATACACTTTGGCAATTATATTTTTGGTCAAGGTTAAGTATCAAATAAAATCATGTACTAAACATATAACTCAAGAAAATATGTTTTGTAATTGGCATTCTCACAAAAGAAAAAATTATGAACGTTTTAAAGGGTTTAGCGAGGTTGGAGGTACCCATGTCACGCATCGTACCCCCAAATTTTCAGAAGCGTTTTGTCTTCTTAAATTTTTGCTTAGAGAAGCCCAGCTCTCTCTTTGGTTTTAATTTCATACAAATCTTAATTCCAGCCTGGCCCACTTTGTTTTATTTTTTATTCATTCTGGCTCTAGCCCATTATTGCACCAAAAAACAGTGCAAGTCTATTCCTTTCCCTAATTCCAAAAATTTATCATCGAGGGTGGATTCCTAATGTGTCTTAATTAATCTCAGGTTTAAATATCATTTCCATCTTTTTTTAAATAAATTTTGCACTAGTTCTTTTCTTAATAGTCTAATAGAGAACCATTCCCTGGTAAGCACATTTCACCAATCCCAAAGGACTTTTGGTTGTTGATGCGAAGAAAATTTGGTTATTGTCATAGTTGAATTTCGTGAAAGTTAAACTACATAAAATTAAAAGTTTGGTCCGATTTATCTATGGAAGATAATGTTCTCAAGAACAAACAATAATTAAATGTTTAATTTACAAGATGTATGACAACTCCGGCCATTGACCCCACATTCCATGGGGGATCATTATCATTATCTTAACACTAATGAGAAAAAGGGAAAACCTCTCACTATGAAAACCTGAAATACATGTTTAGTTGGATTGAGTCGAATTGAGGCATGTTTTTTTGTTTCCTTTCTTTTGCTTCATGTGTAATAGGGTTAAGTTAAATTGAATCAAAGTTTTCTTTTCTTTCTCCTTTTGCATGTTTTCAGAATTTTCATCATCGATGATAGTGACTAATCTTTCTAGTTGAAATGTAAGCACCTGATAAGTGAAATAATTGACCAAAAATTTTAAAATTGATAAACCCCAACCTATGACTAAATGTGGAGGAGTCCTTTCCACTCTTCCAAGCCTTTAGCCTTTGACTCAATTGAGCAAAGTTGATTAGCAAAAGTTCTATTTGATATTTTTATTTTACATTCCATGTTAACACTTTTCTCTTAAATCTTCTTTGACATTAGTTAAACGATTGATATGATCATAAATCATTCACTCACTAGGTTTTATTACTAATGGATCAGGGTGTTAATATCAGTTAGAGATACGTGTTTCAATTATTTAATTATCAAATCTCCAGTAAAATTGACCTTCCTATCTACCATTGAAACCTAAAGCGATGATTAATTATCAAATATTCTATGATATTTTTTATACAAATATTAAAATTCAATATGAATTTTTTTTTTTTTTTTGGTTGGATGAGACGAGGAGTGCAATGGTAAGGTTCTCATCATGTTTTCAATTATTGAGGATATCCTAATCAAACAAGAAGTTAATTAACCATAACCGTCAAGTCGTTGAAAACGTATTACTCCCTCCATTTCAAAATGTAAGTCGTTTTAGACTTGGATAAATTTTTCAAAATGTAAGTCGTTTTAGTATTTTAAGGCAAATTAATGATTACTTTTTCAATTTTACCCTCAAAAAATGATGGCAATCCATTTTCATTTAGTCTTGTTTATAATTTCAATACAATTAATAAAGCGCAAAACAAATATTTAACACAAATTAATTATTGAATGATTGTCTCATTAATTTGCATACAAAGTTTAAAGTGACTTACATTTTGAAATGAATGGAGTAATTGCTAAACTAATGTTAAATGGGATGTAGTTCCTTATTTCCAAAATATATGTCCACTTTGAGTTGCATCAAAGTAAGGGTAAATCATTAAATAGAAAAGTTCAATATTTAGCCCTCGTCAATCAGGCCAATTACTTAATCCCAGTAGTTATGTACTTCCTCCGTTCTAAAATAAGTGTCATTCTAAGGTTTGCACACAGTTTAAGAAAACATTAAATAGGGTAACTAAATTACTAGAATATTCTCAACCAACCCCATTAAAATAAATGTTCACCAATAATATTATTTCTTTTGAGGGTATGTTTGGAAATTTTTAACAAAAAATGCATTGGAATTCGAAAACGACACTTATTTTGAAATTTCTCCATTTTGCCAAAACGATACTTATTTTACGATGGAGGGAGTGTTAAAATTCTATAAGTAGCACCTATGACACAAGGATAATTTGAAAAAAGATAATATATTATACAT